TAGAATGCACTCACAACTCCCATGCTTGCTTTCTTCACTCCTGTTAAAATGGATAAATTTATATTTATTACATTGTAGGCCAGGCCCTCTATTTGTCCTTGTGCCTTTACTACCTTATATATGCCTCACAATTTTTTATATTTAATTATTTATTTTTTAAATCCTCTCTCTTTCTCACTGGATACCTCATAACCAACTTGCCTAGGAAAAACTTACTCTTGGTTTTTAAATGTTCTCCTTTTTCTCTTATTAAAAGTAAAATCAGAAGATAACTGTTACTTAGATTTTTATTCTCACTTCCCTTGTGCTGTTATCCTCTCCTGTTCTTTAGTGTCAAGTCTATGGAAAGAGATTCTTTATAACTTTCCTCTCAAACTCAGTATATTTCAATTTGAGTTTAATTACAATCACTAGATTCAGTGGACATTTTCAGTTGTCATTTTACTTGACCTTTTGCAACATCTGACACTGCTTAGCCAAAGTTCTCATGATACCAACTTGTTTTTTCTTCTGTGTCCTGGCAGTTCATATTCTCTTTCTCATTCACCCCACCCATTTCTCATTCACCCCACCCATTTCTCAGTTCTTTATTCATACATTAAATGTTGGAGCCCTGTGATGTTAGCTTAAAAGTTGGCTTTTTTTTAGCCATTACGTTAGCTCCCTCTGGTCTTCAGCTATCTTAACTGTAGACATATGATCTTGTAAATCATCAGCAGCTGTGGGACTAGGATAGCAGAGTGCTTCCCACACTGAGCAGCAAGACTTGAGAGAGACCAGAGTAAGACCTTGGTGAGAGCAAGATCCTGATGGCAAGACCCTGGTGATGGTGGTGGAGAGATTGTGGCACGTTATTGTTGTTGTTGTTATGTGCCATCGAGATGCTTGCAACTCATAGCGACCCTATGTACAGCAGCCCTAAACTCTGCTCTGTCCTGTGCCAATCGCACCATCTCTGATACACCCAACCCAATTGCCCCAGTCACTGAATCAATCCACCTCATAGAGGGTCTTCCCCTCCTGCGCTGTCCCTCCAGCCTACCAAGCATGCTGTCCCTCTCCAAGGACCTGTCTCTCCTTACAACATGTCCAAAGTATGTTAGACGGAGCCTCAGAATCCTTGCCTACAAGGAGCCGCCCAGTTTGACCCTTTCCAGGATGAATCTGTTTGTTTTCCTAGCATCCCTTTGTGCCCTCAATCCTCTTCTCCACCCCCACAGCTCAAAGGCATCAATTCTCCTTCTATCCTCCTTAGTCATTGTCCAGTTGTCCAATGCATAACAAGTGATTGCAAAGACCATGGCCTGTATTAGATGCACCTTAGTCTCCAGAGAGACACCATTGCTCTTCAGTACTTTGGAGAGGTCCCTAACAGCAGACTTTCCCATGGCAATACATTTTTTCATTTCCTGGCTACTGGTGCCGAGAGTGTTGACTGTGGAGCCAAGCAAACGAAAGCTGTGAACAATCTCAATCTCTTCACCATCCATCCTGGTGCTGCCAATTGGCCCAGTGGTGAGAATCTTTGTCTTCTTGATATTGAGCCCCAATCCATATTGGAATGTGAGAACCATGAATGTAGGAAAATCAGATATCGTTAAGGAAGAAATGGAACGCATAAATATTGACATACTAGGTATTGGTGAGATGAGATGGACTGGCAGGGGTCATTTTGATTCAGATGATCATATGATATATTACTCTAGAGATGAAAAGGTGAGGAAAAATGGAGTTGCTTTCATAGTTATGAAAGCCATTGCTAGATCCATCTTGAAGTACAATATTGTGAGTGACAGCATAATACCCATACGCATACAAGGAAGGCCAGTGAATACCACTGTCATTCAGATATATGCACCAACAACAAGAGCCAAGGAAGAGAAGATAGAATATTTTTACCAACTTTTACAGTCAGATCGATCGAACATGCAATCAAGATACATTGATAATAATGGGTGACTGGCATGCAAAAGTTGGGAACAGAGAAGAAGATTAAGTAGTTGGAAAACATGGGCTTGGTGACAGAAATGGAGCTGGAGAGAGGATGATCAAATTTTGCACAATCAATGACTTATTCATTGCAAATACGTTTTTAAAAAGACATAAACGCAGGTTATATATACATGGATTTCACCTAGTTGTATGCATAGGAATCAGATTGATTACATCTGCGGAAAGAACCGCTGGAGAAGCTCAAAAACTTCATCAGCTGTGAAAACTAGACCAGGAGCTGATTGCGGAACAGACCACCAACTACTCATATGCAAGTTCAAGCTGAAGCTGAGGAAAATTAAACCAAGTCCCTGGGAAACAAAATATGTCTTTGAGTCTATCACACAAGAATTTTAGAACCATCTCAGGAACAGGTTTGAGGCCTTGAATACTAATGAGCAAAGACCAGACGATTGTGGCATAGTTGTGGAGAAACTGTGGCATGTGTAACCAACCAGAGGATCCCTGAGATAAAGGCCACTATTAAAGGTTTGCTATTCTTGCTGGATGATGGAAGGAGAATCTGACTACTGAACTAAAACCAGACTCTGGGCTAATTGAGGAATTGTGCTTTGGGACTTTGGGCTAAAACCTGGACTTGTATTGGATGATATTCTTTGCCGCCTCTACTCTCTGACCTAGTTCCCTAATAAAACCCACTCTTGGTACCATGCCAATGAGTATAGTCTGTAAGTCAGCAATGTTTATTGAATCTGAATGATTGGTAGAAAGAGGTACAGGAGCATGCAATCTGTTCTAATCTGAGGCTCTTGTGACAACCTGTGCATAAATGGAACATTGATATATATCCTCATCCTGGTCTCACCCCTAACAACCATACCTATCTTCCAGTTGCTTCCTGACTCTTCCTTCTGTATTTTTCAAGAGCACCTCAAATTCAACATATTCAAGATTTCATATTTATTCAATTCTCAACCTGGATCTTTCCTATTATTTCCTCTCAGTGACTAGCACCACCATCCATCCAGTGCCAAATTAGATGCTTAGCAGTCATCCTGATAAACTTTTCTCCTCCACCAAGTAATGTTCATGTCTCATATAAATATTTCAAATTCACACAATATTTTGTTTCACCCACCCTAGGCAAAACTCAAATCATGTGTTCTCTGGATCTAGCCTGTACCTGTCTGATCAGGCCAGTAAGTCCAATGGTTTGTTTATTTAAAACCAAATCACACTTCATTAGTCTCCTGCTCAAGCCTTCATGGCTTCTTGTAGTTGTCAGTATAAAAACCATGGTCCACAGATCCACTCATGATACTGGCCCTCCCTTTCCCCATCCTCATTTCTCATAACTCTCCAAATCTCTCTTCTCTAGGCCTACTAGATTTCTTTCCATTCCAAATAATTTTTGTTTGTTGTCTTACCACAGCACCTCTGCACATGCCCTCCCTCTTCTCTACCCATAGAACACTTAGAAATTGTACAGATTGCTCTTGCTACCAACTGTTTCTCTCTGGCTACACGTATCTGACTTCATATATGTGTATGTGCTTACTCCATCCACATCATTCTCCCCCTTTCATCATATATCCCATGAGACATGTTGTTAGTGACCATTATGTCAGCTCTGTTTTACAGCACCCTTCTGTATAGCACAAAAAAAAATATTACCTGTTCCCATGTCATCTTCATAATCACCAGTATGTCCTTGTTCGTCACTGGGGCTTTTGTGCCCACCATCTCACTGAGGTTCTGCCTCACTCTCATTGCCTTTGACTTCATCAGGTGTGATACTCTTCTCCAGTGATTGATTTCTCCTAAGATGTGTCCAGAGCAAATGATTGAGATAGTATTGTTCTGTGATCTTTATGATTTTCACCGGCTTATTTTTAGAAGTAGATCTTTTGACCCTTTTTTCTGGTCAGTCTCAGCCTGGAAGTTCTGCTGAAACCTGGCCATGTGAGTGACCCTGCTAACATTTCAAACCAAATTTTTCTGCTTCCAGGATTGTTTTTGATGCAGGAAGCATCATTGATTGCTGTAAAGATGAATACACTTGGCAACACTAAATTCATCTTATTTCTTTCTTAACACTTTGTATTCAAGGAAATCATATGTATGCTCTGTTCCTCCTGCTAGATTCTACAGATTTGTCTACTTCTTATTTATGGGTTCTACAGCGCTTCCTTGCCTGTGGTACATATTTTATGAATAAAATACCAATTAATTAAATGAAATGGGAACAACTTATTAAAGCAGGTATCTTAAGATCTTTCAGGAAAATATGTTAATATCTATTTCAAATGTTATGATTTATATATTCTTGAAATCATTATTTAAATCAGTTACTTTCAAGGTAGCAATAGTTTTAGGATTGAAACTGCATAGACCAATCACTGTGTTATAGCAGTGACTATCTTTTCTCTTCTGAAAATGTTTCTGGTTTATATGATTTTTCTCTATATATAAACATTAACCTTTAAACTTCCATAAACTATGACAATAAAAATTTCCACGTCAGATCTGTAAAACTTTCACTTAGAAGTCAAACAAGTTGGTAAGGCACATTTAAAACCCTGAGGATAACAATTGATTTAAATTTGATCCAATATTTTTATAATCCTATGCTTGTTAAATTTTTCTTTTGCTCAAGTATAGATTCTTGAGCTGAAGTCAATAGTTTGATTTAAATAATTAAAAATAATGAACGAGAAGAGAAACTATATTTTCATTTCTGTGATATTGATTAAAAAGACATTTGATTAAGAAGTGTTATAAATTCAACAACCCTCTGCCATTGAGTTGAAATTTTACTAACAGTGACCGTATAGGATAAAATTGCTCCATAGGGTTTCTTATCCTTGATTTTTTTTTTTAATCCTTGAAATATTCAAAGCAGCAGACTGCTTGCTACATGTTTTTCCTGACTGAGCAGCTGGTGAATTTAAACTGATGGCCTTGGACTTAGCATGCCAACACTTAATTCACTTCCTTTGTTATGTAATGTGTAATTTAATTTTTCTAGATGTTGCTTTTATTTTCAGCTCAGCCTGAGGTAGAGAGATGAAGCCAATTTCAAGCCTTCTTTCCACTGGTGCCTTTGAATGGATAGCTTTTACATTACCAGAGTCTCATGGAAAGAATCCCAGGTGGCTGCATGGAAATGAGGCCTCTTGTCAGTCTTCCTCATGCAGGCAACAATAAGAACTTAGAATGGTCATTCCAAAGAGATGTATAGGTGCCAGTGGGAGGACTAGGGCTATAAAAAGTTGATGGCTGTTGTGTTGTAAATAATTTTTTTATGCTGGACGATATGATGGTGTCTCTCATCTTGAGAAGGAACATGTATAGAACACTTGGGGCTCTTGGGGCTTTATTTTCGTTTCCAGTTGGTGTCACTGGATGGGGCTTGCGAGATGAATTGGGCATCTCTGGTTCTTAGTCCACCAGCATTTGAATGTGCCTGTATTTAAAAATGGTGTAGGCCCCAAGGGCCACAGGCCCAAGGGCCAAATGTGAATTGATTTAGGATTAACATTCTTTTAAGTGGTACAGCAGTGATCTATCTCTTTGCTTTACTGAAGGATGGACAACTGTGCCATAGGTGTGTCAAACACCATAATTGGCTATCTATCATGGGGTGTGTTAGGTGGAGATTGATTCAGGTTTGGAAGCAGGATTAACATCCACTTCCTAAACCACATGCCTCTGGAAAGTCTCTGAACTTGGAGAAATTATGATAGCTATGAAAGCCTTCAGGCCTTTTATTCATCTTTTTTTTCATATATATATATATATATATATATGTGTGTGTATGTATGTGTGTGTATATATATACGTGTGTATATATGGAGAGCCCTTGAATGTAAATGTTGATGGGGCCCGAGGGCCTAGTGTTATTATTTTGGAGGAACATTCCTAGTGTTATTATTTTGGAGGGACATTCTTCTAAGTTGTACAGAACTCTTAATTTGCTGTACTGAGGTGATATGGGTTTGCTTTGAAGCTGAACTTTGCATCATTGGGGGACAAGTACCATAATGGCTGTCCATGGTGGGCACTGTTTGCTGGAGCTCCCAATTTAAGACTGGTTTGGAAGCAGGAATGGTATCCACTTCCTAAATCACATGCCTCTGGAAACTTTATGAACCTGGAGAAATGACAAGAGCTATAGAAAGTCTTCAGGCCTTTGGTTCATAGGGTTGCTTTGAGTTGTGCTCAACTCAACTGCAGTCAACCACGACAATCATCTAAGGGAAGAAGGATTGATGCCACTGAGTTGTGGTGCTGGGGAAGAGTGTTAAAGATACTGTGGACTTCCAGGAGAATAAGCAGGTTT